ATCATACTTATCTACCTTTCAAACAGTTTTATGTCATTTTTAAATAAAAGTATCACATTTTTTTTATAATTATATTTTATTGATTAAATATTATTTTTTTTTAAAATAAATTCTATTACACAAATTAAAACTTTATAAAATATATCAAAGATAAAACAAAAATTATATTAAATAAATCTGTAAAAATTAATTATTTCATCTTGTAAAAACAAAAGAACATTGAATAAACAAATAATACACTAAACGCTAGCTAAACCCATACAAAAACGAATCGAAATAATTTTAGAATGAAATAGTAAAGAATATTTGAATAATTCTTTAGTTCGACAAATTATTTAAATAATTTGCTTTATTTGATTATAATTAGATCGAATATAAATAATTCGGAATAATTATTACTATTTTTATAATAAAATTTAATCATTTGTCATTTCTATTGATAACCTGCCAATCTGACAAGTTATGTTTGTTATATATAATAATAAATATTTATTTATTTTTATTATAATGAATAATTGATAGAAAAAATTATTATTTATTTTCTTCGTTTTTTTGTTTTGAAAGATTATTAATTTTTGTGTTTGAAAAATCTAAAAAAATAAAGAAAGTATAAAAAGTGTAAAACACAGAAATGTAGTAAAAAAAATATAGTTGCTAAAAAATCCATTATTCCATTATAAGTAGATACAATCCTTCAAAAGTATTAATAAGCAGGTATAAGCTTATTATATGTTATAAATAAGGTATATAAAAACTGCTTTTTATTAGTTTAGTTAGAACTAATTTGCTGCCAGAAAATAGTATGTCAAAGAAACAAAAAAAACTGTATAAAAAATTATAATTGCAATGTGGAACGAGTGATATACTCTACCTAATTTTCGTAATCAGTAAATATAGGATCAAAAGTAAATGAAGTCTATTGAACAAAGTTCATGAACTCATTAGTTAAAGGGACAATGAAAAATAATTGATATTTTTCCTTCATATATATTATCAAAAAACATATAATACATTAATATTATTTTTATAAAACACTAAATGATAAATATCAGCAACCTGCAGGCCCGGTCCTAAAGCTGACCAGGGTATATAATTTTTCTAAATATACCCGGGTTGGGTGGTATATTTTAAATCGCCATGATTAGCTATAAATATTAAAAATAAATTTTCAAAAATCTGGATGGGCTGGCCTGAATATAAAACTGAGCCAGATATAAATTTTCTTGGCCAGGAAAATTTAAAAAAAAATCCAGGCCGAATTGTGCAAATGGTACCTCTGCAGATCTTTGATAAATATGTATAAAATACATAATCTACAGTAAATATAACACTTTATTCTAAGATTATTATAATAATTTCTTCGAATTAGATGTGCAATAAATTTTATTTAATAATTCTGCATTATATTTTTATATGAATTATTATTTTAAAAAAATTATTTGAATTGAACATAAATAGTAAATTTTAGAATTTGATTACTATGATTATTTATTTCATTTAAATGAATCAAATAAGAATAGGGCTGTGCCGATCCACATATTTTTCACCGATCCGATCCGATATTGGTTCAAAACCGATCCGATACCGATATATTTATATTAATTTTTCACCACCCCTCTTTGAACCAAATGTAATTAATAAATCAATATTTTTTATGCACAAAAGAATTATGCATAATTTAATTTTTTTATTTCAACAATAATTTTAAAAAAAATATATAATAGTATATCCATTTTATGTTGGTTTATAAAATTGTAATATTTTATATATAAAATTATAATATATTAGATTTTTTTTAATAAATATAAGAGCCTCTAGATTTTCAGGCAATAGGATTCTACGATGAGGACTATCAATATCCCCTGCCGTACTGAAGGCAGACTCAGATGGGACACTTGTTGCTGGAGGAGCCAAAAATTTACGTGCAAGTGTTGATAAAGTTGGATATTTTACAGCATTAACTCTCCAATATTCAAGTGGATTCACTGGGGATATAATATCAATATCATCAATGTTATTCGAGTTTTCTAAATAAATAACACAAATATAAAATTAGCATATAAAATAGTGGGTTTCATACAAACCCAATCTTTTGTTGATTTTGAAAAATCACCCAAACAAATGGGTCAATCATAGCCCAACCAAGCAATATTTAAATTAATATGAAAAATATGTTGTTATACTTTCTATATATAAAGATTCTTTTAAATATTCCTTGATTTCTATTAGGTATGGCAGGTCATCATTTACATTACTATCGATTTCATTTATTACTAGTTTTTCTTTGATTTTCAATTTATAAGCATCCCTTAAATTAAATTTGCATTTTTTAATGTTATGTGGAACATTTTTCTCATTGTCATTACCTAAGTTAACAATAAAATCTAAATTTATTTTAAAAAATATAAAACCTGGCGAATCTTTATTAGAAATTGGAAGTTGAACATTATCATCACCTTTAAAAAAAGACTCACATGCAGTCCTGAGCTTTTCTATGTATGATATGTTTTTTGGCAAAAAGAAATCCTTATGTCGAGGATCAAGTAATGTAGCGACAACATAATTGTCATCATCATAAATATCAAAAAACCGAGTTGTTAATTGATTATTAGTGGTATTCTTCATAGTCTGCACACCTCTATCTGTGTCCCCATTAATTGTTAATTCACTTTTCAGAATTTCAACAAAGGGTATAACATTGCTAATTGAACATGATTCCGTACTTATTTCTTTTGTTACTCTCTAAATTGGTTCAAGAACATCAATTACCCTTTCTGCTAATTCCCACTCATATAATGAGAGATTTCCCAAATTAGGATTATCGATAATGAACAGCTGTACCGCCCTTTTTTGTTCTATCAATCTTTCGAGCATATAATAGGTAGAATCCCAACGGGTGGGCACATCCTGGATTAATTTGTGCTGGGCTAGACTTAATCGAATTTGGATTTCTTTTAGACAATTTTGTGCAATAGAAGAATGTTTAAAGTGTCCTACTATTTTTCTAACCCGGCAGCTGTCAATAATAGATCTCTGTGATAAAATTGCTGCCTCAATCAATTGCAAACTATGTGCAAAACACGAAACGCTTTGAAATTTCTCATTTTTCATGGCCAAAGTTATATTGGGTGCATTATCTCTAATGATTAGGTGTATTTTATTTTTCTTTATACCCCAATAATTAATAATTTCATCTAAAATTTGAGCAATATTTATTGCTGTATGCGACTCATTAAATGTTTTAACATTTAGAACTCTATTAATTTGTTGAAAATTTTGGTTTATATAGTGGCATGTTAATGAGATGTGAAAATCGCCACCTGAATTTCTAGTCCATATATCTACCGTAAAGGATAAAAAAGAATCGTCAACCAAAATTTCTTTACGAATTTTTTCGGAGAGTTTTTCATATATATCCGGAATAACTCCTTACGAAAAATACTTTCTATTGGGAATTTTGTAATTTGGACATAAATGATGTAAAAGCCTTTTAAAGCCTCTATCCTCCAAGATAGAAATCGGCTGGTGGTCACACGCTATCATTTCCCCTATAAATTTAGAAATTATTATTGATTTAGGATCAGAATGTTTCCAAATATTAGTTTTATTAAGAATGGCTGATATTGTTGGCTGACTTTCAGGGCTCTTTTTTTAAAAAATTTGATTTGTTTTTTCTAATATTTCTCGTTCTTTTTGTGTTAGCTCTTCGAATTCCTTTTGATGGCAACGCTTCAGATGTTTCGTAATGTTAGTTGTATTGAACGAATTTTTCAGTATTCCTCCCCGTGAAATTAGAATTCCGCAGATGACGCATTTTGCAAAATTACCTTCATCTTTATCAAAATATTTCCATAATTCAGAAACCATATTTAAAATAATTTTTATTTAAAGTATAAATAATAAAATTGGTGTTATTTTTTTAAAAATTAAAAATAAATAAAACTTTGGGTGTTCCTTTCTATTTTTATAAAAAAACTTGTAAAATCGATTTAAAAAAATAAATAACATTTGCATTGTTTAAAAAAAAATTATTTATAAAATATTATTAATGTAAAATAGAAACTAGAAAAAATTTATTTTTTTTTTAAATATTTAAAAAAAATTTTTTTATTAAAAAATAATAATTCAAAGTTTTATAAGAATTGCATTTTTAGTAAAAGGATCGGATCGAGGTTTTTTACAGGTTTCGGGCCGATCCGATATTTTTGAAAAACGCCAAATATTGGGACCATCCGATCCGATATTTAATATCGGCACAGCCCTAAATAAGAATAATGCATAATTTGTTGTATTCATTTTTGAATAGACCTACTATATGCATGAATAAATTTTATAAGTATATTAAATCAGTATTATCATTATTCATTTATTTATCATTCATAATTAATTTATAAAAATTCAACTAAAAAAAGGAAATAAAAGTTAACATCACCTTTTTTATTTGGTTATAAAAATTTACATAATTTTTTATAAATTCATAGTATAATGCTAATTTTTTTAATCATGAAGGTTTATTATCATTTTTGAGTATCGGCTACTGGTATTGATTTAAATTTTAAGTAACAGCTGATTGCCCTAATTTATCCCTCATTGATGTCACTAGTCTTTACAATCTCAAGGGACTCAACTTTAAAAAAAAAAACTTATTTTAAAAATTACCTTTTTTAGTTATTTTCTAAGAAAAAAATTCAGGGGGCTCATCAAATATTTTTAAGACATTTGAGCCCCAGTTTCCCCTAGTGGTGCTTGCTATCCCTCTCTCTCTCCTTACTCCCAAACCTGATAACAAGCTCAGACTATCTACCTTATACTTCGATGAATTAAAACTACTAAGAAAATTTATTATGATTATTTTGAAAAATAAGATCATAAAAAAAATAATATTTAGTATTTCATAATAAAGATATATAAGGATCCTCTATTTTCCTGTAAGTTTTATGGGATTAATATTTATATTCTTACTTATATAAATGTAACCTTTTTATATAATAATTATTTACCTTTAATGTTATTCATTTGATAGTGACATGATATACAAAGTGTAAGAGTATCTGCATTGAATTTGTCAACTTTTAATAACTCTTTCAATAAATCATAACATTCTTCAAAAAAACAAGAATAAAATAATTTCTTGGCCTTATGAATTTCTTGATCAAAATCAGTTATAACTTTAATGTCAGGATTTTCATTTTTTATATTTAAATCAACTTTATCTAAACCAAATTGTTTTTTGTAAATAATCAGTATCATCTGTTTAAAAGTTTTATTATCTTTGTTAATTGGTAATTCTTTATTAAGTTCATCAAGTATTTTTTTTAATAAATGCTCGCCTATAATTCTAAAATTATCAAATCAATAAAAAAAATTATACATACTTTCCTTTTCCTTAATGAAACAATATTTAATCAATATTTCCAATGCTTCGTGATTTGTAATATCATGATATAATGATAGTAAAAAATGTTTTTTTGCAATTTCAAAACAATCCATAGCTTGATATATTTTACCTTTTAACAAAAAAACCAAACTCTCCATATTCTGATATATTATCATTAAATTTAATTAAAACAAAAAAATATCACTATATTTTGTTTAATATCCATGTCATATCCTAGCTGCTTTTGATCTAATTGTTCATATGGATTAAATGTTGAATTAAAAGAATTTTCAGATAACAAATCTTCCTCAAGTAATTCCAAAGCTTCTTTATATTCCTTGGTTTCAAACTTTAAATTTTTTTTATAAAATGATAAAAATCTAAATAAACCAGTGCAACAGCTTTAAGATACCAACATCTTGTTTTTTTCTTTATAATTAGAATTATGTATTTGCAATTGCTTAATTAAAAACCTGTATATTTTTAACATTGCTCAAAATAAAATAAGCACGTTTATATTGTCCAGTTGTTTGTAGCATATAGGCATACCAGTATATATCTTCTTCATCTTTAATAGATATGTAATGAAATGGAATATATATATATACCTTTTGATAACCTATAAGCTTTTTCTGACCAATAGAATGCATTTGATATTTGTAGCTAACAATGATTTATCTTAAAATATTTTTAAATTTTTACTGAATTTAAATTTGCGTGGATAAGTGTGCGAATATTTTGAAGCATTTTAGAATAAATTAGGCTTCAGCGACAGCTCTATTAACAAATAGCCAATGACAAAAATGCTAAGCTAAGACATATTAAATTAAAAAAAGTCTGGTGAAACATACGCCATATATACAAATCTTTATTATTGTAGAGATATGTAGTAATACCAACTACTAATTATAAACAATACGACCACTGATTTATATTTCAATTTATTTTTGATATCAAATTTTTATTGATTGTTTTTCGAATGTTCGATTCTATTTTAATATACAATATCTATAAATAATCATTTATTAATTTATTACATTTCCTTCAAACAATTTAAAGTTAGATTTCTTCAATAAACCTCTTTGTAGGTTTACGGTTTCTTGATGAGCAACGTAATGTGGTATTTGTATTTGTGTTTGTATTTGCTTCATTCACTGGCACAACCATTTCTGTAACTTCCAAAGAACTTTCATGATTTGGGATAACTAAACGATTTCTTAACTGATCTGCATGCTTCCGTAATGTTTTCCCGGAAGATTCAACAATATAAGAATAAAGTCCTTTTCTTTCTTTAATTACTCCCTCTCTCCAACCTGTGAGATTTCAAATTCTCTTTCCTTTGAATGTAAATCATGATGAAGGCTTTGTTTATCATTGGCCCTTACTATTTCGTGTTCGGCATTTGGTCGGATCCAATCCAGACTTGTTTTCAATTGCCTCCCAAACATAATTTTAGCAGGAGATCTCCCTGTGGAACTATGCTCTCCCAATCGGTTGGTTGTTAAAACCTGTGTCATAGCTTCTTCGGGATCGCTAATTGAATCTCTTCCAAACCTAGCAAACCCTTTATTTAGTCATTTTATCATAGTATCAGCAGAGGTATTCTGCATTAAATCAACTTCTAACCATGGTCTATTTTTCTGGCATCCAGAAAATTTTTTTATAAAATTTTCTATATCAACATCACATCTGGGCCACCAACAATACAATCTAAAAATAGATTTCATTACATTTTCCCCAGGATGTCCCCAGTGAATCATTCCTAACACTGCATTTCTTAATTTATTAGGAATAACCAATCTCATTCCATTCTATAATATTACGATTGACAGAAAGCTCTTCCCGTCGATATAAAAATTAACTATTTCTTTATCTTTATGACGATCAAAGTTTCGCCAACTTTGCTGAATATGTATTGCTACTTTTTTTAATATTAAATCTTGCTTCGACTCTTTTCGCAGAATATTTTATGACAATTGCATATCATCCAAATTATTACTTCGAATATCCAAAGCATGTTTAAAATCTTAATTCTCTTCCGAAATTTCTTGGTGTTTATTAATCAAATCTCGAATTCTAGAATCTAGTGTTATGCAACATTTTTCTTTTTCAATATTGTTGACCAAATTGCGTACTTGTTTAATCATAACCTGACGAGGCATTTCTAAATTGAATGCTATAATCCATGGTAATCCGAAAAGAGGCACCCCAGTTGTATTCATTATTACCACTGGTAGAGTCCTTGTCTGTGATCCAATCCTAACATAGACTTGGGTCTCGCCCTTGACGTCTAACGGATGATCACCATATGCAGTCAATGGACTGGTTGGCCTAATTTTTGGTCGCCCAATACTTGTCCATATATCAATTCCTATCAATGACGCTTGTGCACCAGTGTCAAAATCAAATTCAACATCTAACCCATTTATCTCTGCAGTTAGTTTTGCTCGATTCTCTCGATTTTGTTGAATCTTCCAAATATTATGAATAGAATCACTTAATCGTCGCCATTTGTAGTAATACCAACTACTAATTATAAACAATACGACCACTAATTTATATTTCAATTTATTTTTGATATCAAATTTTTATTGATTGTTTTTCGAATGTTCGATTCTATTTTAATATACAATATCTATAAATAATCATTTATTAATTTATTACAAGATATAGATCAGAATTAAGAATATCAGTAGTGTTTTATTTTGGTTAAATTATAAGTAAAACAAGTGAATAATAATACATCATTATAAATATAAATTTATATTTGTTTATATAATAAGAAAAATAATTATGATCGTATATAGCCTCAGAACAGTAAAATAAACATTTATATCACAAAGCTAATATATTTTAAATTTATATTAACTTTTTTTGTTGTTAATTAAATATACATAATATAAATTAAATAAACATATTACGTCGAAATATATACACCGGTTAAAATAAAATAAAAATGACTCTAGCATCCAATAAAATTTATATTACGTGGGAAATGAGTGAGATAATTGTAATAAATTATTACATTATATTGAGTAAAGGAAGAAATAACAATAATTAGTATACCAACAAATCATAGAAAAGGTGTGTAGAGAGGTTATAGCTATCCACAATAGTTTTTCGTAATTAAAATTTTAACTAAAAAAACCAAAAATTACACTATATGATGGGCTAATTGATATTAAAATTTTAATATAGTAATATTTCCCAATATTATGTTAACTTTAAATATTATATTACAAAAGGTCTTAATAAACCAATTTAATGTAATTAATTATATAATTTCCTATTATGGATTAAAATTATATATTACATTTTAAACCTATATTATAAAAATACACACTTATATACTACGAATTGATATACGAATTTAACAAAAAAAAATTTTTAAATAAGCAGTTCTTCGTCTTTAGTAATGCACCATGCTAGCGCAGGAATATACTGCAATTGTTTTCATGTCGTGACTAATTATCAATTTATCTTTTATAACGATATAGTCTTCAGTAACATACTATGCGATATCTTAAGTATTATACCATGCGAGTGCAAGAACTATACGGGGCTCTTTCTCTACCAGTTTACAATTTGCTGGTACCCGTATCCTCCACCATGTAAGTATTTTAGCTGAGAATTTCGTGACGTCATGTCATCATTTCGTCACGTCATCGCTACGTCTTGTCATCGATACGTATTTTTATTTTTTTTATTTGTTGATTTTATTTATTTATTTTATACAAACAGATGATCCTATAACTTAATTTTTTATTCAACTGTAGGAGGTCATATTAAAACTAATTATCAAAGTAATACATTATTTACTAAATATTACAAATTATTAATATTTTATATAGAAATTCAATTTACTTGTAAGGTGGGCTTGATAAAATCTTTTTAAATTATTAAGATCTTGGATGCTTGGAAAAAGTAATACATTATTTACAAAATATTACAAATTATTAATATTGATTGGGATTTTTAATGTTAAATGTTATACTTATGTTAATATACATTAAATATATCTATTTACAAAATATTACAAATTATTAATATTTTATATAGAAATTCAATTTAACAGATGATCCTAGTTTTCTATGCGACTGTAGGAGACCATATTAAAACCAATTGTCAAAGTAATACATTATTTACTAAATAGGAGTTATCTCCAATAATACGAGGTAATATTTTTTATCTCTTATAATAATATTAGGGCAGACCTTATTTTGTCATAAATCTCTAATAAGTGGTTTGCCCAGGCTTTCTCAGTTTCCCTTATTACCTATTTGTCGTAGCTAGGGATTTGTTTATATTATCTATATGTAGTATTAGTTATGTATATTTTAACATGTATCGTTTACTCATTTTAGTTAAATAGTAATAGTTATTATTTTCAATATTATTTTGAAATATTATTTTTTTTTATTATTATTTTTCAATATTATATTTTTTAGAAAAAGATAATATTTATTTATTAATATGTATATAAATAGGGTAGAAAAAAATAATAAAAAAACTTGTGTGGATTTTAAAATTTTGTTTTGATTTTTTTTTGTTGTCAGTAAAAAAAAAGGTTCGTTTAAAAGAAGAATAAAATAAAAGAGCTTATCGTATAGAAAATAAAAAATCTTATCGGAAAGAAAAATAAAAGAGCTCATCTTAAAGAAAAATAAGAGTAATAATAAGTTTGACACTATTCACATATTTTTTTTGCA